TATTCCATGTTCTAAAAGGGTCATAATATTGTGCATCCATTATTACAACATCACATAGAATAAGTTCACCATATAAGAAACCCCACGAGCTCAGTGTATTCATTCCTTTCTTTATCTGTCCTGCCCATCCTCCCCTCCCTGCAAAGCCCTCCTGATAACAACTAAACTGCTTAACCTCTTTATACGGCTTTGCTTTTTTGGGAAAGCCACATAGTCTTAATCACAGCTCACACTCTTTTAAATGATATGGAATTTGGCCTCACTTCCTGTGGTGTGTGTTCAATATAGACCAAAAAAAAAAAAAAAAAAAGATCAAATCAGGATTGCTATACCTTTTGACCTCATCTGGATAGAGAAATCGCTAGTATGTCTTTGAGGTCACTGATGTGCTATTTAAAAAAACCAAGCAAGAGTTCTATTAGATCATGTCAGGTGGCTGTGTCCCCTTTCACAGTAAATGATGCTGGGCAAAAAAGGGCAGGTATTTAGGAAATGAGTAGAAGGTGATGAAAAGTATTTATTATGTCCCTTAACATGTTTATTACACGGCAACAGTGACTCAGATTGGTGAAAATAACAAATGTAGCCCTTGTCATATCAATGATTGATCAATAGCCCCCCCCCCCCACACACACACAGAGCAGCTACATTACAAGTGTTTTCCTTAACTACCTGACCATGACACTAACCAGAATTTAGATGAGATACCTAAATTAGGTATCTCATATAGATTCTCCACTATAATAATAAACTCAGATAAAGAACTTATGTAATTAAAATATTACTAACTTCCCTTAATAACCACAGGATAATTAACTTAAGTGCTTACAAAAGTAAATGATGAATTTATCATAAATTATGTGCATCAATTTTTATTTTTAGCATACATTATTTGTCAGCTTATCAACTTCCCTGATTTATTATTTACTCCTTTCAAAGTATAAATGCTTTCTCCAGTTTTAGCACAGGAAGCTTTATGTAGTTCAACAGTTTTAAGATTATCCTGCTTTTACATTTAGGTAATAAACTTCAGGAGACAAGAATCTTGATTCTGTTTATTAACTCTGTCCCAAGGTGCTCTACCAAGCCAGACAGTAGAGAGCAGAGCAGGAGCTCAAGGATATCTTCCAATTTCCACCTCAGCTTGGCATAATATTTTGCAAAGCCCATATCCAATACATACATATGAAACACAAGAATGACTAAATGCCATGAGAGTATGCATGTGGACAGAGTATATGGGAAGGAACTGAGAGGAAGAAGGTGAAGGGGGTGAGAAGCCCACAGGGAGAGGGAAAGGAGAAGAGTAAGCCTCTTTTCCCTTCCTCTCCTTCTTTAACCATCAAACTATCACCTCTAAAAAGACAGTTCTCTAAAGCTCTGATCTGTGACTTAGGCTCATAAATAGTTGGCAATGTATTTGAGGACTGTGGTTCAACCCTTGGCTTTTACAAGGCTATTATTGTTATATATACACAAGTACATGTGTTCAAAATGTATAAATGTACATTTGATTTTAAATGTGCATAAATATATTATACAGTTATCCACATTATTGCAGAGTAAAAGCTCAATAGATGTTGAGAGAATAAATAAAACTGGACTTCCAGAATAAGCAGAATCATCATCTCTAAAGGGCTAAAATTGCTAAGGTAATAAATTTGACTTTATCAAATCACTCAAAGGACAGGCTCCAAGGACCTGAGTCATGAAATTAAAATCAGAGAATAATGGGTAAATATATATAGGTGAGATGTAGGTATAAATATATGATACTAATTGAGTAATTAATTATGGTAGTTTATACTTTCTTATAGAAATGGGCAGATCTGTTTGAGAAGCACATTTATAGTTCATAATGTATTGTGGTGGTCATTCAATTAAAGTTTTCACATTATCTTAAGGTAATTTTTATTATTTTCTCTCTTCTAAAGAGCAAACGCTATTTCCTCAGAGTTTGACTGAAATTCTTATATATGTCCACAGTTTGGGTCTCCACTTCAAATTTTTCTCAGTTTTTCCTTATTTTTGATTCATTGATGGTTAACAGAAATACAAAAGATTATAATCATCACCTACTATTAATCAGTTACAAAGTTTATAATTTATGGATATTTAAGGAAACATTTTTACCACAGAATGAAATATTGTATCAGGAAAGTCATTCTTTCATAGATTTTTGACATCCTAAATGTTCTTAAGCTTTATCTCTTGATATTACATATACCTTGCTTTGATATTCACTAATTTCAAAGGATTAAAAAAAGTAGGTTAGTCACTTGAAATTTAGCCACTCTAGGAGAAGCAAACAAAGAAATGCCTATTTGGCTTTTCCAACACCAGATATTCTCTAAAGATAAAATGCTTGTTAACAGGGTATAAGTATATGGAAAGAATGAGTGATGAAGACTGACTAGTTCTATTGTCCTTCTTGAGATTGGAACATAAAGATTACACTATTACCTCTGTCCAAAACAAAATAAGGTTACAAAGAAGAAATGGAAAGAAGACTGGGGAAATACGTTTAGGCCAGAGGATGACCATGCAGATCATTTCTGACAGGAATAATTGTGGGGAGAATACACTGGATATCAGAAAGGATATGATTCTAGCACAAGGAAAACTATTAGTAGTTGATAAATTAATTAAACAAAGAACAAAATGATTATTGTTCAGTTCCTAAAAGGCAAGCTTAGATGGGCAGATAATTTATTTAAATCATATAAAAAATAGAAATGAAGTTTTTAAAAGAGTAGGTGGTGGGGATGGTGGGTGGGGTTTGACAATGCAGCTTAACTCTAGACTTCCTGACTAGAGACAGAAAATTACCTACAGGAATGCTCTCAACAGCATTACTGCATTCTTTCCACCTCATTGAATGGATCTGATTATATTCCTATTTATTCTTATTTATATTCCTATTGTCTTATCTATGACAGAGCCTTTCCTTCTCATAAATGATTCTCTTCGTTAAGGGCCTGAAGTGGCCTTCGTGAAGATAGGAATCAAGAGTTGAAGGGCTTAGTGACTAACATTCTTTTAAAGTAATTAGCTCCATCTCTGAGCTGTTTAGCATAGTTTGAGGGAAGAAGGTGAATGGGTAAGGGCAAAATCTCAGAAGACATAAAAGTATATAGAAAGATGGGTCCTTCAACCCATCCTAACACCAAATCACTCCAGGTATGTCAACTGAATATTAAGTTTAACAAGCTCTCACACTCAGAGATCCCAAAACATCTAGAGGAATCATTTCCATCAGTTGCTCATAGAGAAGTTTTAATTGCTTTAGACTTATCTATAACTAGTTGAGATTTTTTTACAAAACAGTTTTATTTAGGTATCACAGGATTTTTACAAAGCAAACAAATAAAGACAGACTGAAGGCAGACCATGTACTGTGCTGTTCAGCAGAGGCTACAGCTCTCTACCTGAACTCTCCCAAGATTTCTCCCATTCTGAGGGAAGATGAAAGAAAAAAGAATGAGGGGGGTAACATTAAAGCTACATTCCCCGCATTCCAATTAATGGCTACTGATAAGAAAACAGGACATTATCCCTACAAGACCCTTCTCCTTTACCATCTTATGAGAACTTCACATTCTGGAATGCAGTAAATTTATGTGTGAATATAAATCACATATGTGTGCATGTGCATACATACATACAAACAAATATGAATTAGCTACAGACATGCAAGGCCATGAGCAAAAATGTTGAAATAAATTTGGATTAGTAATTTTAAGAAAAGTCTTTTGTTAGACCAAATTGTTTTTGTCTAAGTTTTGCCAAAAAGTCTTTTTTTTTAAATTAGAGAAACAGAATTTTCAGATTTATAACTGTCCATAATTTTAACTAACTTATATCGATTGACTCAATATTAGAGAATCATGGAATCTACAGAATAGTGTATATATCATGCACAAACATATATTATTGAGAAAACATAATTTTGGAAATATCAAACTCTGCCATGGACTATTGTTTCATGGAAAGAACAATAACAGATGTTACACATACACACACACAGCATAGAGCATGCACATGCACACACATACAAATAATTCAGTGGTTAATCAGGAATAGCTACATTATTTTCAGGACCCCATACAAAATAAAAGTGTGAATCCCCTTTTTAAAAAGTTATCAAAAATTTCAAGATGGCAACAGCAGAACAGTAAACCAAGAATGAGTCTCTTCTAACTGAGGGGTCCTATATGACTACACAGGTTACATACACCTGAAAATAGTCTTGAGGTGGTACATGTCTATAATCCCGGTAGCTCAGGAGGCTGAGGCAGGAGGATTGAGAGTTCAAAGCCAGCTTCAGCAACTTAGCAAGACCCTAAGCAACTTAGCGAGACCCTGTCTCAAAATAAAAAGTAAAAACATCTGGGGATGTGGCTCAGTCATTACGAGCCCCTGGGTACCAATCGGGGGAAAAACCTACCTTGATTAAACAGCTTACAAAATGCTAGGTTAAATAATGTTGAACAGATTTCTGTGTAGCAGAACTTCTCAGAGACTTTACATGCTAATGTACATTGTGAACCCTCAAGAGGTTCTTGTACCATACAGCATTCCTCAAATATATTTGAGCATAGCTCTTTTGAATTATGATTTTATAAGGATCATCTTGTAAGGCCAATATTCTGTAGAATGAACATTGTACATTGAAGCTCAGGCTGTGCTGAGAGTTTGTATCTAGTTAACATCAACTTGTTAGTCACAAGTCACTGACCATATTTTCCCCATTTTTGTACCATTTTCCTTATCTTTTAGAAAGATAACTGTAAATGCAAATGGAGTGGCTTCACCAAGTCTACTGTCCTTAACTACTTGGTCTTTTACTATATGCATATTTAATTCAGTGGACTAAATATCCCAAATAATTTCTGGACTAGTATACTAGAGACGGTCTGATGATTGAGATTATATCCCAAACCAACTTATTTTCTTCTCCTTTATCTTGTCAATTCAGAGGAAATAATATCCTTACTTACCATTACCCAGTTCCCAAGAAATGTTGTACTTTTTGCTGGCGCTGTACTTCAACAGACTCAGGGCACTAGAACTGTTCCAGGAGTTATTGGGATTACGACGCAGTGCATTTAGAGCAAATATCAGGTGGAGTCCAGAGCAATCAGCAAAGTTATAAAGTTTGTCTAGAGACCTGGCTGGGAAGAAGCAGAGAAAGGCTTATAACTTTCAAATCAATATCCAACAAAAGGAAAATATTAGCTGCTAAAAAAAAGGCCTTTCTATGAGCTTCCTGCTAATAAGAAATTGCACAGACAGGCTTCTAAAAGGGACAATTTCCTTTTGGTGTGAGATGCAGTTTAAGGTGATTTTAGAAAGAAGCACAAAGGGGATTGGAGGTGTAGCTCAGTGGTAAAGTGCTTGCCTACCATGTGTGAGGCTCTGGGTTCCATATCCAGCACAAGCAAAAATAAATAAATAAAAATAAAAAGTAAAAGTAAAAACAATCAAAAAGCCCCCAGAGAATTCCAGAAGCTGCAAGTTGGCAATCATGTCTAACCTACTCTTATTGTCATCTTATTTTGTTAACAAACAATTGAATTGCTGATGTTTAAAATGAGACAATTCCAGAGTAGCTGAATTTTTTACTTTTTCAGGAAAAATCAGAAGATCTGCCACTGTTGCATATCCTGCAGGACATGGCAGGAATAGTGTCTGATGAGTCTTAGGAAAAAACGCAGCCTACCAGGACTTTCAAAAAATGCCAGTCAAGTCCATGTTTCTAATATTTTTGAGTATGGAAATACCATAACCATTACTAGGATATGCTCATTTCAAGCTGATCCCAAATAACATCAACTCTATAACCCCACGTATCTCATAACCATCTCATTTCATTTCTGTTGCCATCATTCTTGTCCGGTCCTTGTTTCCAATTGCATGAATTACAACTATGTCTGTATTTTCCTGTCTCCTTCTAGATTCTTCCCATCTTGCCAATAAATCTTCTCTCAATCACCCTTATCAGTTTCACTCACCCCTAGAAACCTTAGCATATTCTCAAAACCCTTTTCTTCCTCAGTTCAAGACCTCTATGAATCACCCTTATTTTTTTTTTTTCCTACAATGTTAGGCATTTCTATTTCTCTCAGGGTTCTTTGTTGATGTCAACCAGTTCAATGTATTATAGAATTCTGTGACCTGTTGACTTTTGCTCTAAATATTTTCCTCATTTGGCTTGCCCTTATTCAGTTTTGTAGCATATCCAGGTTTTACTTGTTCTTTTAGGCAGTGTTTCTTAAGGTATGGGTAACATGACTTCGGGTGATATGTTATTGTTAAAAATATTTTAGGTTAATAATTATGTACAGGGGTTCACATTATCTTCATATTCATTATCCAAGCTCCTAGAACAGAGTTTGTCAAATGAGGTTCATGAAACACAAAAGTTCCACAAGAGGTCACCAGGGGTTTGCAAAAGATGATGCATAGAGAATAAGGCTGTTTTATAAGCAATTTTGTTATAAGTCTTTTAGTCTTTTAAAGTAGAACTATGGTCATTAGATTGAGTTCATTATTAGTATTTGAAGTGAGATGCAGTAAGGCTGTGACTTTCACTTTCTTACATGTGCAAGAAGGCATTTTTAAAGAAGCATTAGGAATAAGCACTGAAATTGTCTCATTTCATTTGAAAATAAAATCCATTCGAACTATCTCACATTCTACCCAGAATTGAGCAACTAGGCAAAACAACAAAGAGCATAGGTTTCAGATTAAAGAGACAAACTTATTTATTTTTAGTTCCAAAACAGCAAAAGCAAAATGCATTTATAGGCCTATTAAAATCATCATAAAACCAACACATGTGTATAATAATTTTATAATTATATACATGCAACTCAGTAAGAAAATGGCATTTTTAAAAGTCTTGTGTAAACTGTATCATAGGCTATAATTTAATTTAAATGCCACTAATAAATTTTTCATATTCAAAATAATGTTAATTAAAGAAAATTTATAAACTTTATTCAAATTAAACCTAAAAACCTATCAAAAATTGTGACTCATATTGGTTTAAACAAATTACTTAATAAACACTACTTATATTTATTTGCCTTATCAGATTCTCAAATTCATGGAAAGGAACTAATTGGACTAATTTCAAGAGATAAAGTTAACAACTTTTTTCAAGAATTGTTGTACAAAAAGTAATTTTTAAAAATTTAAATAGGAAGAGGGAAAAAACCTATACCTGTACTTTAATATACTACATATTATACCTCAATACCATTTGCACAATGGAAAGTTTTGATAAGACTTTTAGGCCTACTTGGGTAAGATACAAAAAAATTATAACTTTTTTTTTTAAAAGAAAAAGTTTTCTTCTCTCTGTACCAATGAGGTTGGGACCATTGGAGAGGAAAGTGGTGAAACCATACAAAAGAACAGGCTGAGAAATTGGCCAGACTAAACATATTTTCAGGAAAATATTACTCTGTATATAAAAGAGAATTGGTAATTATTATTGGATTAATATATCTACAACTAAATACTCGTATTAATATACTATGAGATTTAGATATGATCACTTTTAAATAGGAGTTCCCTAATACCTGATAACTATTATAATACGATCTCAAACATAATTTTCATATTAAAGATCAGGAGAAGTCCATTTTAAAGTCCATTAATATTTTTGCCACAGAACTTTTGCTATTTTACTCAATGTTCAATTAAATCACATCTTGCTTATCCAAATTTTTCATAATTTCAATAATAGCTTACAATGTGTTAGCTGTGTTGAAACATTCTTATTTTTCTAATTTTTAGTTTTAATTATAAACTAAAATTCTGGCAGATTTGTTTGATATGAATGACTGATATTAATTTTAGGGAGATTAATTTGCTTTATGTAGCTTTTTCCTAGAACTAATTATCTCTATATAATGTGTTATAGTTTAGATATTAAGTGTCCTCCCAAAGCTCATGTGTGAGACAATACAAAAATGTTCAGAGGTGAAATGATTGGGTTAGAAGAGCTTTAACTTAATTGGTGCAGGAATCCATTTTACTCTATTAGCTGGGTGGTAATTATGGTCAGGTAGGGTGTGGCTAGAGGAGGTGGATGATTGAGGGGTGCCTTTGGGTTTATTTTGTCCTTGTTGAGCAGACAGAGCTCTCTCCTTCTGGTTGGACAAGTCCTGAGCTGTTTTCCTCCACCACACCTTTCTGCCATGAATTTCTGCCTCATCTTGGCCCCAGAGCAGTGGAGCTGGCAGTGTATGAACTGGACCTCTGAAACCACAAGCATCAAAAAATCTTTGCTTTCTCTAAAATTGCTCTTATCCGGGCTATTGGTCATAGGGGCAAAACCATTATGCTTATCATATGGGGTTCATCCAAGGGATGTGAAGTTGGTTTAATGTATAGAAATCAATAAGTGTAATTAATCACATCAATAGATAATCAATAAGCCAACTCCAAGTCAGTAAGCCAATCCCAAAGACAAGAATCACATGATTATCTCAGATGCAGAAAAAGCATTTGACAAAATACACCATAAATTCATGTTAAAAACACTAGAAAAACTAGGGATAGTAGAAGCATACCTCAACATTGTAAAAGCTATATATGTTAAACACAAAGCCAACATCATTCTAAATGGTGAAAAATTGTATGCATTCCCTCTAAAAACTGGAATAAGACAGGAACGCCATCTTTTACCACTTCTATTCAACATAGTCCTTGAAACTCTAGCCAGAGCAATTAGGCAAAGGAAAGAAATTAAAGGGATATGAATAGAAAAAGAAGAGCATAAATTATCCCTATTTGCCAATGACATGATTCTATATTTAGAAGACCCAAAAAAACTCTATTGGAAAACTTCTAGAACTCATAAACACTTTCAGCAAATTAGCAGGATACAAAATTAACACTGAGATATCAATTGAATTCCTATATACCAACGATGAATCAACTGAAAGAGAAATTAGTAAAACTACCCCATTCACGATATCCTCAAAAAAAAAAAAAAAAACAACTTGTGAATCAATCTAAAAAAGAGAGGTAAAAGCCCTCTACAATGAAAACTATGTAACATGAAAAAAATATGAATAAGACCTTAGAAGATGGAAAAACTTCCCATGTTCTTGGATAGGCCGAATTATTGTAGAAATGGCCATACTACACAAAGTGCTATACAGATTTAGTGCAATTCCTGTTAAAATTCCAATAACATTCTTCATAGAAATAGAAAAATCAGTCATGAAATTCATTTGGAAAAAACAGAGGCCCAGAATAGCCAAAGCAATCCCTCGCATGAAAAAGTGAAGCAGGAGGCATCGAAATACCAGACCTTAAATTAAACTACAGAACTATAGTTAAAAAAAAGGCTTAGTATTGGCACAAAATAAAAGACATGAAGACCAATGGAACAGAATAGAAGATACAGAGGCAAATCCACATAAATTCAGTTATTCATACTAGACAAGGGCGTCATAAACATGCATAGGAGAAAAGATAGTCTCTTCAACAAATGGTGATGAGGAGACTGGAAATCGGTTTGTGGTAGGATGAAGTTTAACCCCTACCTCTCACCTACATAAAACTCAACTCAAAGTGGATGGAGGATGTAAGCATTAGACCAGAGACCCTGTACCTACTAGAAGAAAATGTAGGCCCAACTCTCCATCATGTCAGCTTAGGAACCAAATCCCTCAACAAGACTCCTAGAGTGCAAGAAATAAAATCAAGAATCAATAAATGGGATGATATCAAACTAAAAAGCTTCTTCACAGCAAAGGAAACCCTCAATAACATGAAGAGAGAGCCTACAGAAAGGGAGAAAATCTTTGCCAGCTGCTCCTCAGATAGAGCAGTAATCTCCAGGATATATAAAACACTCAAAATAGTTAACACCAAAACACCCCAGATAACCCAACCAATAAATGGTCAAAGGAACTGAACAGGCACTTCACAGAAAAAGAAATATGAATGGTGAACAAATATGTGCAAAAATGTCCCACATCTCTAGCAATTAGACAAATGCAAATTAAAATCACACTAAGATTCCATCTCACTCTGGTTAGAATGGCAATTATCAAGAATACAAGCAACAATAAATGTTGGTGAGAATGTCAGGGGGAAAAGGTTCACTCATACCTTGCTGATGGGAATGAAATTGGTGCAACCGATCTGG